ATTTTTAGAAAGTAAGCCGAAGAAGACTTTAGAAGAGATACGCTCTTTAGACCGGCATCATATTGCAGATTGTTATGAGATTTCATCTGAATCATTGACCGAAGAGTTCATCTTGAAGTATGGGAATTATAATCATATGAAATGGTTCAGAGCTTATAGGCAATTACGAAATGCTGGTACTGACAACGAAATGGCTGTTGAGGCTATCACCCGTAAAGATTATAGAGAAGATAGGCTTACAACTATAACCCGGGCTGAAAGGTATCAAATTTGTCTAGAATTATTAAAAATTTGTACACCAGCTAAAGATATCGATGATAAAGCCAGATATAAATCTGATGTTGTTAAGATGCGTCTGAATTCTCCTGAATCGATATCTCATCTCCAGGATTTAGTTCTCAAAATGGCTCGGGTATTTGACAATACAGATGCATTGTGCAGAGTTAAAAAATCAGGATTGAAAACGGATCGGGCAAAACTTGGTTTACTGAACTCAGCATTACATGCAACTTATGGGTTGAAATTTAAGGCTATCGATAGGAGTCACAGGTATTACCGCCTAGATGGATCATTCAATACTAAAGACGCTCCTATATTACTGTTATATCAAACGGGTGAAGAAATTTATTGGGAAAATGGGGAAGATACTCGGTATGGATATAGTAAACTCCCACCTGATGAATTAATAGATAATTTTACTAGTTCTAACAAAGTGGACAATATGCAAATTACAGAAGATATTCAGAATTTATTTGATATATGCTAATACTATTTGGTATGTGTAGCCTTCTGCCATTTTTATATAATATAATTCCGCAGAAGGCTACATCTATTAGTAAAAAAATCTATTCTTGCATCACTCCAGCCAGGATACGTAGTCACATACTTCTGAGATGCAGGCTTCTGCCAATTTTATATATCTAATGAATGAAATAATATTTTTTCGTTCATTTCTCGACGGATAATTCAGAGGTTCTTCCAGATTAAAAAGTTTCGGCTATATACTTCTGTCTCATTCGATAATTATGTGTATGAAACTTAGCAGAGTGTTTGGGGCAACACCCTGTAGTAGAAGCGGTGGGGAATCCACAAACAAGACAGGGTTTTTTTTCCATATTTTTTTCGTGTAATACTCAGTGTCTTGCACAGCCAGTAGTGCAAGTACAGACTCTTCCACAAATGGAACCATCTCTCTTGATATGTGAGCAAGTAACACGATCTATATAAATGTTTTAGGATATAAAACTCTCTTTCACTTTTAATTTTATAATAAAATGTGTATTTAAATTATTCGGTATTAAGATAAGACATAAACGTCTTTTCATACTAACGTTATGGATATAATGCAAAAAAAAGTACTTAATATAGTATCCAGCCGATGGGTCGATCCAAACAGAAAGTTATTCCAAAAGTTGATTCGTGAAGGTTATAAACATGCTGATAGACTTTCAGATTATTTAGAGGATATTGGAACTATGTATATCGGTGAATTTGCATTAGATCCCCTAGTCGACTTCTACTATCCAGCCTTAATTCCGCCTTTATCTGTCTTAGCAATTAGAGTAGATATTCGTGAAAAATTTATTATTAATGTGAAGTCTGCTGTTATAAGAAGAATGAGTCTATTTACTCTGGAAAAAAATAAATAATCTTTGCTTCAGAATCTAATCCAAATGAACTATTCTATTGATAACTTGACTACGTTAATAGGAATAACTTGAGAGCAAGAAGAGATGAAAACTTGGAGAAATGACGTGCTTATGAAATTCCTCCATCATTCAAATTTGGCTCCTTCGAAGCATAGACCGGGTGCATTATATGATGCATTTACCAAGACGAGTGTTTTAGGGCCAGAATATATATTGGCTCTAGCACAAATTTAAGGCGTGAATACGATACAAATTTATTCATAGTCACAGAACCCCATTCCATGGCTATATTTTTTTCGCATATCCTATCTACCCGCAATTTTCAAATCAATGTAAAACTCCTCAGCCAGAGTGGATGGTCTCATAGAGAACCTGCGTATGTTATATCATTTTTCGCTTCTTTAGTCTAGTCAAGAGCCATCTCTGTTGTTTTCTCTTTTCGAAGAAGTATAGCTCTGAGGGGTTTTTTGAATTGAATTTTTTCTCACATAATATAACTAGATAACAGTTACTATTGACATGGCTACTAAAGCAACTGCTCCAAAGACTCGAAAACCCAAAACTAATAACTATATTGCCATCTTAGACCAGTTCTTAAAAAAATATAACTTGACGGCTGACTCTACCTCAGAACAATTAAGTGAATATGCTTCTGAACTGGATGTTTTACTTCCTGATTGGATGGCCCACAGGTGTGTTAAAGTTGCCCTTGCCAGAGTTACTGATAACAGACGCTCATTTAGTAAAGAGAAAATAGAGGCTCTTCTACCAGATAAGAGAAAAAAAAACCTCACTATAGAAGGAAGGGCGGAATATTGTGCTAAGGCTGGTAATTTTGTAGACATTATCGCTAATCATTGGGCAGTAAGTCCGATGAAAAGGAGATCATTACCAGTATCTCGCGTCAGTCAACATTCTATGTAAAGTTAGCAGAAGGTGGTGTAGATTCTGCAATTATTGAAGAATTTGCCAAAGACAAGGATCTTATCCAAGATTCTAATAAAATTCAGAAAGAACAAACCAAAAAGCGAATGGCTAATCCGGACAGAATTCTCATACATTTCTCCTTAACAAATGTGAGTAAAAGAATTCAGAACATGGATATTTCCAAAATTCCTACTAGAGAGAATCTCGCGGATGTGATAGTGATGTTGAGTATGAGACCTGCGAAAGTAAGATCTCTCCAGATCAATTACTATGAACTGGACTTTTCGAACATTCCATCATGGTATAAAGAGGGCTATTCTTGGTACTGTACAGGTTATTTAAAGAGTAGAGGAGAAAAGAAGAAGAATCCTGATCCTCGGCCATTTCTTTCCATGGAGAAGAATCCAGAACGTGTCAGGGAATTACTCACCTGGATTCAAGATGCAATTAAAGCTAAAAGTTATCTGACCCTATCTTTACTGAAAGTGGAACACGTAATACTTGGCCATTTAATGAATTCTTGAAGCAAGAACCTTATAGAACTATACCTAAAAAATTAAGAGATTATGGAAGTAAACACGCTTTCAGAATTCATGGTGATAAGAACCCAACTCCCCAGCATCTTAAACTGCTTTCGAGAATTGTATTAAGACAAGAATCTGACCGCTTTGATGCAGGTGATAATTATGCTATAGGCGATACAGAATCAGAGGACTCTGGACCTGAAGATGAGCATAACTTAGATCTGAAATCAGAGTCTACATAAAATGATGAAATATCTGATATTATCAATATGTATAGCTACTAGCAACGCGCCTTTGGCAAATTTTGCTAGGTTCATCATCCAGAAGTAGTGATCACCAGCTCAGAGATTTTTGCATGTATTAATAAAATTTTTTCTTGGCAAAAGTTGCTGACCAATGGTCAGGATGTCACGTGAATTTTTCAATTTTGAATACTAACATACCAGAGCATAAATAGTATTATATTTAACAGGTATGCAATCTGAAATAGATTTATTGAGGCAACATTTCACTGAACTTAAAGCTAAATACATTAAGATTAAGGTGAAAAAAGTTGAGCTTGAGACCCAGAATACTGAGATTCCTGAACTTAGAAAAAAGGTTGCTGAGATCGAGGCTGAGAACGTGAAATTGAGACATATTATTAAGAAGAATGCTAGGCGTGATGCTGAGAATGCTAAGCACAAGGCCAGAATCGAGGAATTGAAAAAAAATAGTGTAGATACTTCAGCTGAGAATGCTGAACTTAAGGCTAGAGTTGCGAAATTAGAACAAGAGTCCAAATAGCCACAGAATGATTTCTCTCCCAAGGAACATGTCGATATAACAGAGTCTGTAACGGTCCATTCATGTAAAACAAATGATGTGGTACCAGAAATGCAGGTTTGCATAGCAAACATCCCTATACCTGCTAGCTTTAAACCATTAGAGGATAGAAAGACAGATGTTTTCTTGGATAAGGTGAATAAGAAAAATATTAGTGATAGTATAAGGTAGAGGAATAGGGAGAAGAAGCTTTGCACAGCGCCTTTCAGCTAGTATGAGTCATCTAAAAATCAAGCCTAAGACTTATCTAAAGTGAATATCTCTTCAGCATCTAAAGTCGCACTAGAAGTTGTAACCTCTATAACCTCTGATCAGACTAGATCGCAAGATGCTGATTCTTTGTCTCCTTTCAGCTCTTCAGAAAACAATCATATTCCATACAGTTTATCTCAAGAAAATGCTTCTCTACCTGTTATCCGAAAAGTACCATACAATCAAAAAGTTGAGCAAGGTATAATTCAGGAAGTTATTTTATTTATTCAAAAAGAAGCACTTGCCTCATCAATTAATACTTTCAAGTTTAATATTGTAGTAGCTGATGGAGAAGGCCGAGATTTGGCTCAATTATTTTCTGATATTGAAGACGTAGAAGGCAAAACGATAAAAGCTAAACAAAAAGAAAATGTATGCTGGTATGCTTATAGAGAATTATACGAAAATAAGGTTGCAAAAATTTGCTCTAAAACTGGTATAGCCAAAAAAACTGCAAAGTCTCAAGTTTATACCATGATTAAAGCTTCTCTACCCAAAGTTTTGGATTCAAATCTATATAAGAAGACCCAAAGAGCTGGGAGTGTTTATACTGTTTGAAAAAATTATTGATCCCACAACTAAGAAAGAAGTCAAAGGAATAGGTATTGACAAGGCTTATGAAATTTCATATGGCGTAAGAAGTATATCGGAATTAACTGATTCTCAAATATTAAATATTATAGATCGGGTAATGAATGAAACACATGATATCCTGACCACTGATCAGGAACAAAATCATGTGACCAAAAAATCTGAGACTAGCGAAAAAATCTTGTCTAAAGAAAATTCATCCTTATCAGTCAATTTGGAAAATTATATAAAAATGCTCACAGGAAGTCTTGACGATGAGACTGCTTATTGGGGTACACTATACGAGAACTCAGCTAGGGTAGTAGAAAAGGAAGAGAATGAAGTTAAGAAGCTTTTCAGGGTTCAGTCAAACGATGATGTATGTTTTGATGAGGAAGTTAATCATAATTTCCCTCTGGGAAACAAGAAACGAATGATGATAATGACTGTAGTTACGACAACGATTCTGAAGAAGAGATGTCAGATGAATTGGACGATGATAGGTATAATGGATACAGTAGATATGATGAATATGGTGGTCACGATAGAGGTTATTATTATTATGACAGAAGATACGAAAGAAAATCTTACCAATGATAAGTCCTATTATATTTCTGGTATTCGCCTGCTAAAAACGCTAAAGGCAGGAGAATTATTAGATGAATTGTAAACTAAATTATCATATGGGTTTATTTTTTCAGCTGAATTGAGATCAGCAAATTAATAGACATTAGGGTTGCTATAATTATTCCATGTTTTACGACGATCATAGCCTTAACTGCGAAAGATTTTTATTATTTACATGCTTTTTTCTCACTATAGTTTAAAAAAAATCAATTAAGATAGGCTATCTCCTGAATGTCTTTACCAAAGGAGTGTATATTTGTCTTAGCATTTCTAATGAGATATATATTTATCTGAAAGTGATAGTTCTGCAGTCGCATTACGCAAAATCATTCTACAATTTGTTAATTAATTTCTAACCCATAATGTAGTACAGTAAATTTTCCCAACTGTCAAAGCTATTCTGGCTTCTTGTAATCCAAATACTTCACACCTTGGCTTGTTTTGAAGCTCTCAGTGTCCTGCATCTGGTCGAATTAATTTGGGATTTCTACAGTATGTGATCATGTTTCGTAGGCAGTTGAAGTTTCAATCCTTATATAGTACTAATAATACATTTTGGGATTCACTAGGTAGCTATGAATTCTTGTATAACAACCTACTAATTTCTTACTTCCTTTAGGTTTCCAGAATCAGAAACTAGTATTTTGTAGGTTGCCAGGTCACTAGCATTTCACACGCCACTTTGGCAATGTTGTCTTCACAAGATCTCCAATTTTTTCTCACTAAAGTTCGAAAAAAGAAAAGCTATCTGAATATGTTATTAAGGCATGTTAATAAGAGTAGACTATCTCCTGTAATACCAAAGGTACAAATGAGGGTAAAATTACTAATATTTTTAATCACAATTCCAAAAAATAGTTAGATATCTCCTGCAGTACCTGTAAAGGAGGAAATAATTGACCTTATGATTTTCTGAATAACTACGGATCCAGTGATCAAATATTCACTGGCTTGTTGAAAGTTTAGAACCTGCTTAATCCAGTCGTTCAATCTACATCAAAATTGGACCATTAGTTAGCGAGGTATTTACGTTTCAAGATCGTTATGGCAAATCGGACTTATATAGTTGATTTATAATAATTCTCAGACTGTACCTTTGTATTTATTCAACGTATTGCAAATAAAAAAAGTATATCACTTAATTTTTCGTGTATGATTATTTGACCAGTAATCTTTTAAATACTAATAATTTTGACTTTATTGATTGATAAGAGACCTGCATGTTAATACAGCTTAATTTCAAAATTCAGAATTGGCTAATTATTAGAAAATAGGATTGTTAGCGACTTTTATGTTTTTTGTAACGATCGTAGCAATGAACTGCGGAGAAATTTTATTTATAAAAATACTGGATATGGCGGTGGTGTCTCGCATACATTTTATATTTGATCATGTCTTTAAACAGTTTTAAAAATCTTGCTTATAATATCTTAAAAAATCTCGAGAATAAATCAGTTAGAGACATGGAAGTTCTGGAGCTAGGATCATGTTCAGAGTGTAATAATGAGATCCTAATTCTTCCTATTAAGACGTTCACAATACTTAGCTGTGGTCATGTTTTTCATAGAGAATGTATCGAGAAAATTTTTTACTTACTCAACAAAACAACTGTCCTATCGATAATTGTACCGCGATCGTTAAGCCTGTGATCACTGAACGGAGATTTTCTGTATCGTCTCAATCAAGTACTTCATTGATAGTTAAGAGAATGAACAATCAACTTCAGATGGAATCATCAGTAATCCAAGAAGAGAAGAGGCCAGTTCAAGAAATGGAAGTGGATGAAGAGATCAATGAAGAAGAATTAGAAATCCAATCAGATAATCAAAACTTTATACTCACTAGCAGTAAAAATGAATTAGCGAAAATGCTAAGCCATAAGCTCCTATTTTACGTTCATCCATCGAAAAACTGCCTAATAAGAAGGCTAAAAAATTGATTAGAAGAGAAGATTCGCCCATCTTAAAAAAGTTAATCAAGGAATTATCCGCTCTTATTCTACAGCAAATTTCTTCCGATAGTACTATTTTTTTACAGACATTCTCTGAAATGGATGTTAACTCAGTTAATTTTCGTGAATTAAATGACAGGATCATCAAAGCTGAAGACGATAATCAAAAAACCGTTTTACAACTGATCTATAGCTATTACTATTTTGGGAAAGGATATAGGTTATGGTTTGATCATTATAAAAAAACGTATAGTGATGATACGTCCAATTCTCTAGTTAATGATAAAATTCGTGAGTGCTTTCCAGACTAGGATAAAACTTCAGAGGCTAATCTTAGAAAAAAGAAGAAAAAGACAATAAAGATCTTTAAACTTTTTGATGGGGTTGGAGGGGTAGATAAGATAAATTGCATTAAGTCTTTTTCAGCATCGACTATTTCAAGATTAGACGTAGAGAATATTGACTATATATTAGCTAAAGTTTTAAAAGTGGATCAGTGAAATTTACTGCGCATTTTTTACTCAAGTGTGAACATATATTCACAACTACCGAAGTTTTTCCAGATTTCAAATAAGCCAAATTTACTCATGTGTGATCACCTATTTACACTTGCCGAAGTTTTTCCATTTTAATATTTTCTAGACATGTGTGGTTATCGTTCTACAGTAAAATAATGAAAAAATAATAAAGTTTATGAGGCGAGTTATTTTTAACTAATGTATACTGTATATGGGTGGTATGATGTTATTTTATTGCAAGACTCGCCAGAAATGTGTACAAAAAATATGCTAATCACTCCTGATATGATATACATTATGTGAAGCGTCTGACTAATCCCTGTTAATCATGAGAAATCCACACAGTCTGTATTACCCAATAAAAAATTTGATATAAAAATTCCATAAAAATATAAAGTTTTATATCGTATATTTTTTATGGAATTTCAGTATAATGTATACGTTTTTTCCTTAAATAAAAACCTTTAACTTAATATGAAAAAGTGTGAAAAAATGTATACAAAAATCACGGACAAAACGTATATCTTATAATGCTTTAACAGATGCAAAAATCACAGACAAAACAAATATTTTATAATGCTTTAACGGATGCAAAAATCACGGACAAAACGTATATCTTATAATGCTTTAATGGATGCAAAAATTATGGATAAAATGGATATTTTATAATGCTTTAACGGATGCAAAAATCACAGACAAAACGAATATCTTATAATGTTTTAACAGATGCAAAAATTACGGATAAATTGGATATTTTATAATGCTTTAACAGATGCAAAAATTACAGACAAAACGAATATCTTATAATGCTTTAACGAATGCAAAAATCACTGACAAAATGTATATCTTATAATGCTTTAATGGATGCAAAAATCACGAACAAAACGTATATCTTATAATGCTTTAACAAATGCAAAAATCACTGACAAAACGTATATCTTATAATGCTTTAACGGATGCAAAAATCACAGACAAAACGTATATCTTATAATGCTTTAATGAATGCAAAAATCATTGACAAAACGTATATCTTATAATGCTTTAACGGATGCAAAAATTACGGATAAAATGGATATTTTATAATGCTTTAACGGATGCAAAAATTACAGACAAAACGAATATCTTATAATGCTTTAACGGATGTAAAAATTACGGACAAAACGTATATCTTATAATGCTTTAATGAATGCAAAAATCATCGACAAAACATATATCTTATAATGCTTTAATGAATGCAAAAATCACGGACAAAACGTATATCTTATAATGCTTTAACGGATGTAAAAAACCATATACTTAATATGGAAAAGTGGGAAAAAATGTATACAAAAAATAAGGAAAAAACTTAGATCTTATAATGCTTTAATGGATGCAAAATTATGGATAAAACAGATATTTTATAATGCTTTAATGGATGCAAAATCATGGATAAAACATATATTTTTATATGCTTTAATTAAGCAATTTAGATTTTATTAATATAATAAAA